TAGAATAAAAGTCACTTTATTACAGAATAACTACTATGTTCACAAAACACACTAATTAATAAATAAATTGTGGCTTTTATTCCAGAGTAGAGTGTCTAGATAGGGAGCTATTCTGAAATAGCTAGAGCAGAATAGTTAATTCTACAATAGTTATTCTGGTCAATTTCCCCATGTAGATAAGCCCACAGAGTAAAAGGTTTCCACAAACTATTTGGCATTGGGCTAGCTGCAGTGAGTTTCTGAGTGAGAGCCAAAACATGTTCTTACAAAGGTACTTTCCAGGTTGATGGCATTAAGACAGAAGCAGTTTGGCTAGCAATAGTGGTATACATAACTGCGTAACTACTGTCTAGATTGTCGGGCTCAACAATCAACGGGTAGTGATCAACGGCTCGATATCTAGTTGGCAGCCGGTATCAAGCAGAGTACCCCAGGGGTCTGTACTGGGGCCAGTTTTTTTCAACATCTTTATTAATGATCTGGATGATGGAATGGATTGCACCCTCAGAAAGTTCGCAGATGACACTAAACCGGGGGGAGATTTAGATACACTTGAGGGTAGGGATAGGGTCCAGACAAATTGGAAGATTGGGCCAAAAGAAATCTGATGAGGTTCAACAAGGACAAGTGCAGAGTCCTGCACTTAGGATGAAAGAATCCCATGCACCGCTACAGGCTGGAGACCAACTGGCTAAGCAGCAGTTCTGCAGAAAAGGACCTGGGGATTACAGTGGATGAGAAGCTGGATATGAGTCAGCAGTGTGCCCTTGTTGCCAAGAAGGCTAACAGCATATTGGGCTGCATTAGTAGGAATATTGCCAGCAGATCGAGGGAAGTGATTATTCCCCTCTATTCAGCACTGGTGAGGCTACATCTGGAGTATTGCATCCAGTTTTGGGCCCCCCACTACAGAAAGGATGTGGACAAATTGGAGAGAGTCCAGCGAAGGGCAACTAAAATGATCAGGGGGCTGGGGCACATGACTTACGAGGAGAGGCTTAGGGAACTGGGCTTGTTTAGTCTGCAGAAGAGAAGAGTGAGGGGGGGATTTG